CTGCAGCTTCTAGGATACTTTGAAAAGCTGCTGTGACTTACACTTGTAGCATTCGAGAAGTTGAGATCAGAATTTAGGGGTGCTGATTACCTGCTTAGTCACCCTCTGGTTTCCCCCTCCGAATAAGGAGATAAATCCCTGAGCAGCGAGTCTGGACACTGCTAAACTGCAGCTTCAACGACATAAAGGCCAGCTGACGGCATCAGGACTAAGTGAGAGAATGATTTTTGGAGAAATTCTTAAGAGTAATTCACGTCTCAAGTGTTCTGGTGCTCCCTGCCAGACGGGACTGAAAATAAAGCAGTCCTCCTAGATCTTCCACAGCCAGCTCATCCTCGCGGCCTCTCTGCCTGCAACCCCAAGCGCCGAGCCCCTCCCTCCCCGCGGGAACTCTTGGGAACTGCGACTCTGACTCTGGCTTGAAAAGGACTGTGTCATTTCCCAGGCCAGTTTCAGGCTGAAGACACTGCACTTTTCACCCACAATAAATGTTTACAGACAAGTATTCCTCAAATAAAAAAGTGTAATGGACCCAGCAGTTACCCTTGATTGTGGGGTGCGAGTGGGGGCGGTGACCCGAGGAGCAGGAGACCGACCAATCTGGGTCAGGTCTAGATGCTGCCAGTTCAAGTAAAGAGATAAGCTTTCAATTCACTGACACCAGCACCCCATTCAGGTTTTTGCTTTAGAAACAGCTCTGAATCCACAGATAATCATGCCTATCCTGTGTGCGCACACCGCTGCCATTCCCTTCTAATTATGACATCTAACAGGAACTTTGTATTATCAACCGCACTATTAAGACAGAAACACAGAGCCTCCCCCGGTGGCCCAGGGGTTAAATCTCAGTGCTATCACCTCTACCGCCAGAGTTTGATCCCCGGCCAGGGAGCTGACCCACATATGACGTGGCAGACCAATCCTGTCTCCCCGCTGCTCCCCTCAGCAGTGGATTTCAGTCAATTCGCCTGCTCTGCTCCCCACTGTCTCTGGTGAATCCTCTCTCCCCCGACATCTCTGGCCTGTACCCCAGTTCTTATATGCATAAATAAATAAATCTTTATTTTTTTTTTAATTTTTTTTTATAGAGGCATGTTATTTATTTGTTTGTTTGTTTTGTTTATACATGCACTGGGTACAGTCAGAAGCGCGGGAGGGTGAGAGAATTCACCAGAGCCAGAGCGGGGAGCAGAGCAGGCAGAAGGACCGAAGTACACTGCTGAGGGGAGCAGCGGGCGGCAGGAGAGGTCTGCGAACCATGTGGGACCCTCCTCCAGTGGCCGGGGAGCAGCCGGGGATCGAACCGGCGCCGCAGAGGCCGCGGGCAGCTTCGCAACCCAACGCTCAACCGCTGCGCCACCGGGGAGGCCCCCCCTTTTTTTTTTAAAGATTTATTTATTTATGCATACAAGAGCTTGGGGTACAGGCTAGAGATGTGGGGGTTGAGAGGATTCACCAGAGACAGAGGAGGGGGGGCAGAACAGGAGGATTGACTGAAATCCACTGTTGAGGGAAGCAGCGGGGAGACAGGAGAGGTCTGCTGCGCCATGTGGGTTGCTCCCTGGCCAGTCCGGGATCCAAGTCATGCTGCAGAGGCTGCAGATTGTTTCATAGTGTGGTGCTTAACACCTTGTGCCGCCAGGGAGGCCCTCAACTTTTTCTTCTTGACTCTTTCTCTCCAGTTTTCTGCTTTTGTCCCTGAAAGGCCATGACTGCTCTGTGGTTAGTGGGATATGTGTCAGTGTCTCACTGTAAGATTTAGATACCCTGTTTCTCCTCTGTAACGTGGAGGTGATCACACCTGGGGTGAGGGAAAAAAAAATCAGACATGTCGCTGCTAGTTAGATAAACTACCAAGCTGGAGAAATCTTTGACTAACACATAACACACCACGTAAATTGTTAACTTGCCTCACAAACCCAGTCAGCAAACTGATTATTTCATGGCCTTTTGTTTTTAGAGCTTGGAGTGAAAAGGCACCCAAAATATTTTGGGGAAATTATTTTACTTGGAATGGTCCAATTTAAGAAGCATTTGGAAACCATGAAATGACCAAAGACCATGCTGGGGGGTGAGGTCATAATCATGGTCTATGAAATCAGGTGCCAAGGAGATAGTTATGATGCCAGGAGTGCAGCTGACTTCCCAGCAGGCACCAGTTGGAAGATAAAAGTCCTAGTTTAAACAAGATTCCTGGGAATTACTTAATGTAGTAAGGAAGCCACAAAAGAGAGTGAAGATGAAAACAAGCCTATTTAAATGCACCCCTGAGCAAGCCCTTCCATGTTTAACTGCTAAACTACAGACTTAAGGTTTTACAGCTCCTCATATATTGCTGTGGCAAACTGGCCCCGCAAATGACAAACTGTCTGGATATAAAAACCCGTGACACAAAGTAGCACCATGGTTAACAGACACTAAATGCCTCCATTCATCAGTGTCATCACGACTGACTAGCCTGACCTTATCCCCAGCAATGCGAAAGCTCTCTGCTCAAGAGCTGGCAACCGGAAGCCTTCACAGCAAGAGAGACAGTTGAGCAATGTGGTCACACAGTCATCACACCCTCCACCAAGGCTATGAAGCAGTGGGGTAAGCGTGTGTATTTCTAATGCAAAGTCTTCATTATGGGGAAGGGTAAGTGAGATGACGTTATTTAACGCTTTTACTTTAATTTGCGAAACCGCTACTTCTATTTTCTACACTCAAAAATAACTTCCATGGAGCCTATGAAGTGCCTCTTTACCTGTTTATAGAGGTTTGAATAAGGCTTTTCTCCTCTACCGTCCAATTAATTTAAGGCCATGTCCATGGCTGAATTTTTAAAAATTAAAGCCCTACCGAAAAGCTTACCCTAAGTTGGGAAACGCGCGCGCACCCTCACGCCCAAACATCTCACCACCTCGGCCACCCAGACGGCTCCGACTCGCTCCCGAACCCGCCGATTCAGGACACCGGCTTAAGACCCGCCTGAAGTCAGGCGTCAAAACCAAAACGCTCAAACTAAGAGGCCTTCGCTTTCTGGTCAGAAGCGGCGCCCGCCGCCCGCCGCCCGCGCCGTTGCAGCCAGCACGGGCGCTGGACTGAGCGACCGCGCGGGGCGCCGGCGTCCCGAGTCCTCCGAGCGGCGCGGCGGCGTCTCCGGCACGAGTCGTCGCGGCCGCCTGAGCCGGCGAGGCCGCGGCCGGGGGCCCGTTTCCCGGCGGCCCGAAGCAGGGTCGCTGAGACGGAGCCGGGTGTTGAGGAACAACTTGATTCTGGTTTCGTCGGGGTGTGACGCCGGCCGGCGGCGGCGGATGTGGGGGATGTGGGGGGGGTGTGTGGGGTGGGGGGGCGGCGCCCCACCTACTCGGGCTCGGCGTCTGCCCCGCGCGTGTGGGGCTGGAGCGGGCGCGCGGCTGGCGGGAGGTTTTCCGCGCGGCCGCGAGGAGAGGGGACGCCGCCCGCAGGCCGCCAAGTCCCGGCAAGGGCAGGCGTCCCCGCTCCGGCTCCTCCGGCGCGACGCCTCCGGGCCGGGCAGGGCCAACCCGCCAGCCGCGGGGCACCCGTCTGGGGAACGCGCGCACGAAGCGGCTGGGGGCGCCCGGGAGCGGCGGGCTCGGCAGCCACAGGGCGCCCCCCGCCCCGCGGCCCAGTCCTCGACGACCCCCGCGCCCCAGCGGCCCCGGGACGCGCGCTCGGGCGTCGGGGCCTCGGGCCGGGCGCGCGGTTACTCGGGGTCGCCAGCCGGGAGGCAGGTGTCCCGGCTCCCAGTCCTCGCTCCGCGGCCACCGGCCATCCAGGTGGCCGCGCGGCCGTCCGGCTCCCCCGCGCGCTTACCTGGCCTCAGGGCCGACCTCCCGCCCCGGCTCGGGGGGAACCGGAATCGCCGACGCGCGGGGCGTCCGGCGCCACCTGGTCTGCGCACGCGCCCTGCTCTCGCCGCGGCCCCCGCCCCTCCTGGAGACTCGCGCTCACTAACTGCGCATGCGGGAAGCTGAGGCGTTCTTCCCGCGTGGCCGCCGTCATTCCCAGAGAGCCAATCAGATGTGGGGATTTGCCAGCAGCCCCGCCCCTCCTTATTTCCCAGGCCTCGGACACCGGCCTCGGGCGCCGAGGGCGGGACCGGAAGGGGGAGGTCGCCGAGGGCGCCAGGGCTCGGTCGTCTCCGCCCCCTGCCGAGCGGCCAATCGCGGGCGAGACGCCGGGCGCGCGCACGCTCCTTCGAGTTTAACGGTCGCGAGGGTCCGCGCGCCCGACCCTGACAGAGGCAGCCGGAGCGCCGGCCAGGTAAGCGGCCGCCGGCCTGCGCGGTGCTGCCGGCGGTGGGGCGCAGAGCACGGGCCTAGACGGCAGCGCCCCGGCGACCCCGGCGCGGCTGGGCCGGGGCCAGGGCAGGGGTCGGAAGGCGGCGCAGCCCCGGCGCGGGCCCGCGGCGTGTGGGGGAGTGGGCGGCTGCCGCCCGCCTTTTCAAGACTCCGTGCCCTTGAGTGACACCCGCGCGGCCCAATCGCGGGGCGCGGGCTCCGGGGGCGGGGGGCTTGTGGGTTTCCCTCTGGGCGCGCGGCGCCCCCTTGTTTTCCGGGTCGCGAGGGCGGCGGCGGCGCCCGCTGGCTGCTCTGCGGCGCCCCGCTCCGACCCGAGAGCCCCCGGCCGTCGTGGGCTGGCTGTGCGCGCGAGCGGCCGGGTCGGGCCCGAGGGCCCCCGAAACCATCCCGCCGTCTCCCCGCAGCCCCATCCTCGCGGGTCCCCTGGTCGGCTCCCCTGCCGCGCGCGCCCCCCGGCCTGCTCCTCCCCGCGCTGCCCTTTCGCTGAGGAGCGGGGGGACCAAGGGCGTCGTGCCGCGTTGCCGGGGAATGTAACTGTGTTCCGGGGTCCACGTTCCGTGGAGGTTTTGCTTCTTAATTTTGCATTGCGTTTTGCAGCTTTCACTTATTTTTTAATTTCTTGGGTTGCCCCTTCCCGCACTCCTCCCCGCGACGGCTGGAGACGGGAGGCCCCGTGGCCCTCCGGGTGGCCTTGGGTCTGGGCCTCTGCGGCCGCGGCCGCGGCGGGGCGGGCCGTGGGGGACGGGGCGCAGATCCCCGTCCCCGGGGAGCTGGTGTTTGCCCGGTAGGAGACCACGGTGATTTGAGTCGAGGTATTTTCGTTGCCCGTTGGGAGGCACAGCCCCCTGCTTTTTCAATACCCCATTTGTGGTTGCCAGTGGGCTGAGCCGCTGGGGAGAAGTCCATTGAGCTAGGTCGGGTTACCCGCCGCTTTCTCACCTGGCCCAGGTTTTGCAAAGCCCTGCTTTGTAAGCCCAGTCCCGGGACGTGGGACCGGGGTACTGGGTGCTGTTCTGCGCTGGCACCCCGGGAACTTCTCGTTTTTAAACTGCACAGATTTTATTTTTCTTCTATTTTTCCATTGGCTTCCTTTTTGTACGTGAATTCCCCCAGAAGGAGGCATGTTGTTATAGCCAGTTTTCCTCTCTACACCACGACTCAGTTAACCTGGCAAATGGTTTGTTTTTTGAGAAGTAGTGCATGCATAGAGCACAACAGGCTGTGTCGTTGAACATTCCTTCCCCCCCCCCCCACCTTCCAGCCAGCCGGGAAACCACCATTGTTAACACTTTAACTGGGCATGCCATGTTCAATACCCCGTTCCACTGCATCTGATGACGTTCCTGCTGTATAAATGACCGAGCATGGATACTTGCTGGAGTTTATTAAATGAACAAGGCATGTAAGTATTCGTATTGGTACATAGTAGAACGTCCAGAACCTCGATCATGAAACACATAAAATTTTGACATATTACTTAAAAAAGATGCTACTTTTGCAAATCACTCTTACTGTGCATTTTAAATTGGGATGTAATTCACATACCATAAAAATTTTAACACCTAAGTGTTCACTTCAGTGGTTTTTAGTCTGTTCACAGTTGTGCAACCATCACATTGTAGAACTTTTCTTCATCCGCTTTCCTCCCCCCAAACCCTCATCCAGGGTAGTCATTCCCCTTCTGTCCTCCCTCAGTTCCAGGCAGCTTTCGGTCTCTAGCTTGCTTGTTCTCGCTATTTCCGAAAAGTGGGATCACGCTTGTGGTCTTCTGCTGGCTGCTTTTATGTAACATCATGTTTTCGGTGCTCATCCACATCACCGCCTGGATGAATACTTCCTTCTTGTTATGGCTGAAAAATGCTGTTAGGTGGATGGACCTAACAGCTTATCCACTTGCCAGTTGTTGGGCATGTGGGTGGTTTCTGCGTTTTGACATGTACCAACCGTGTTGCTCTCCTTACTGTAGACTTGTATGAAACGATCAAAGTTTCACGACCAAAGTAGTGAAAAGACAGTTGCTAGGTTTAGTGGCCTTTTATAGTAGTATTTTCCCCCCATCCATTTTCAGACTCTCTTGGGAGCTTAGCCTATTTCCCAGTTCTGAATGTTAGCATCTGAAAATGCCTGTAGATGATGAAGCAGCTGAAGAGGACTCGGATTCAATTTCTTCAAACAGTGAAAGAACCTACATTTCCAAATAAGAGAGTATAACAGTTTCTGTACACTATGGAAGATTTTGACTTGGTGAAAACCTTACCCAAAACTTCATCTTCTGTAGACTATGATATGAAAAATCCCCCCCATTCTCTTGGACTGAACTTAAGTACTAATAGGTAAGAATGGGGAAGATAGGTATTTTTAACAAGGTAACCACAAACAAACTAACTTTGTGTAGTTTATAATATAGTCAGACAGTGTTATAGTTACTGATTTACATTAAAAAATTGCAAACTGTGATCAGGAACTGTTCAGAGACAGCTGTTTAAGATGTTTAAGAATAGTATTACCATCTTCCCCAGAGATATGTATAAATATTTTTGTGTGAGGAATGTCTTGAAAAGGAGCTTGTTCTGCTAGTTGTAGTTTTTCTTTACACTTTTTTTTGCTTTTGGTAAATTACAAGACTTATCTTTACATTTAGTTGCCTCAATATTATTTCTATATTTTATTTTTTATTAAGATTTATTTAATACTCACACAAGAGCTGTGGTACAGGCCAGAGATGCTGAGTGTGAGAGGATTCACCAGAGACAGAGTGGGGAATAGAACAGGCAGACTGAGTGAAATACACTGCTGAGGAGCAGCGGGCGAGATAGGAGAGGTCTGCTGCTCCCTGGCCGGCCGGGGATCGAACTTGTGCTGCAGAGGCTTCGGATTGCTTCATAGTGCGGTGCTTAACCCCTTGTGCTACCAGGGAGGCCCCTGTTTCTATATTTTAAAGTTAGCAGTACAAATAATGTTTAATATTACTCAAATTCCTCACTCATATGGAAAGTAGCAATTAAGTTGAATATGAGGAAGTCAGCAAATAGACGCTGTCAAACCATGCATTGTATACATCTTCTTTTTTACATTTTATAAGGACAGGTTTATTAGGAAAAGGAGAAAAAGAGCATCTGCATAGTCAGAGGTAGGCAGAAAGCTGCCTCTCCATTGTATACCTTTTCTTTTGAAAGTGTCCCATCTTTGTTTTCAGCCTGTATCCTCATTTTGTGCATAGTCTGACAGGCTTGATCATTTGATTTCTAAATTTACAGTAGGTTGAAAACGACAAAGGAGGGGCTATTAGAAAGGAGACCACCCAGGGGCCTCCCCGGTGGCGCAGTGGTTGAGCACTGGGTTGCGAAGCTGTCCGCAGCCTCTGCGGCGCGGGTTCGATCCCTGGCTGCTCCCCGGCCACCGGAGGAGGGTCCCACATGGCGCGCAGACCTCTCCTGCCGCCCGCTGCTCCTCTCAGCAGTGTGCTTTGGTCCTTCTGCCTGCTCTTCTCTGCTCTACTCTGGCTCTGGTGAATGCTCTCACCCTCCTGCGCTTCTGAATGTACCCAGTGCTTGTACAAATAAATAAATAAATCCTTCAAATAAATAAATAAATAAATAAAAGTTACTCTATATTTAAAAAAAAAAAAGAAAGAAGACCACCCAAAAGAAGCAGGCACAGGCCATGGAGACAGCAGCCGGGCCATGGGTAGACGGCCGGTGTCCACCGCAGCCAGCCTTGAGGGCAGTGGGCTGTAGATAAATGAATGAATTCCTTAAAGATACATGTTCATTCTCTGCTCTCAGAAATAACTTAAGGCAGTTTACAAGAATTTATAAAATAGAAGGAGGCAGGAATGAAGGTAGGTGGAAGGGAGAGCAATGCCACGTGGGCAGCGATGGTGAGCGCTGTGCCCACTTGGTGGACGCTGGTTTCCGCCGTCATTTGGTGGCCCCTCTGATGCCCACTTCTACCAGATATCTCTTGGGATATCTGTGTTTGGTTTCCTTGGAGGAGCCAAAATTGCCTTTCTTATAAAAATTGTGTAATCCAACTTGCCTCCCTTTGCACTGTGACTGGCAGTTCCATCAGCCAAATTTAAACTTGGAGATGACACAGCCCCTATGGACAACATACATGATCTTTCCCTGAATTCTTACTAGTATTTCTCTGATCCTCATTATTTTATAGTTATTTTCATTAGTATTATCTTTTTAAAAAATAAACCAAAACAAAGCAACATATCAATAAGTGAAAATGACCTATGAGTGACTGGAATTTAAACAGATTTTAATGTCTTTAATTATGCTTAGTGTTTTTATAAAACAAATCTGAAATAAACTCATCTCAAGTTTGGGAAAGCAGTCCTGGAAAGAATCAGTGCTATTTTACACCCTGAATAGGCTAAATAAGACTGAATATTTGCTGCTAATTTGCTTGGCACAATTTTTATTCAAAGACAGTGCAAAGATAAGCATCAGCTTATCACCCCAAATTAGAGGGAATCCAATTAACAAGATTGACTGTAATTCTGGGCAGTGGGGAAAGAAAATCTGTAATAAAGGCTGTTCTGAAAGTACGTTACCCATGCATTAATCCTCTGGAGTAATTTAGATGGAAGAGGCGGGAAATTTTTATTATTATTTAGCAGATACTAATTTTCTGCTGGTACTTTGGAGTCGCCTCTCACTTCTGAGGAACGTCTTTCTGTTAAGTTCTTTAAAAAAATAAATAATTGAATGCTGTTTGTCTTTTTGCTGCTATTTTCCTTGCCTGGTCAAACTGGTGATCAGATTTTCAACAAATGAGGTGCTATTAAGAAGGATTAAATATCAGTGGTTTTGTACTGCTCTGTTAAATCATGAACTGCTGAATTATTCAACACTTTGGTAGAATGAAGAAAACCATTTGAATTATTTATGTTTCAACAGAAGTAGTCCCCACCTTAGTACAAATGGGGTGTCCTCTTTCTCAGGGAAGACCACACCGTCTGTAATCCAAGGTACAGTAGAAGTCCTGTCCTCTTTAATGCAAGAACTACAAAACAGTGGAAAGGCTGACGCGGAACTTTGGAAAAACTCTGAGGTATTTAGTTTTATTTTACTTTTGGGATGAATAATTCTCTTTTTAAATGTATCACAACTAAGCTCTAAATTATTAGGCACTCACATCCTAGAGAGCATGGTGCTTAAGTTACTGCTGGAGTAAAGGGGCCAAGTGAGTAAATCGGGGAATAGTATTGGATAGACATGAGAAAGACAGTCAGACATACGTTTAACAGTATACTCATGATTAGACATGCTGATTATATCTAAAATGTGAACTAAAGTATTGTCTTCAGAGAAATGAGAATTCCAAAAGCACTAATATTGTTGCTGATCCTAAAGTTTTAAATCACTTGTACGAATTGTCATCCCTTTGTAAAACTGTTATAGGGCAGCCCCAATACAAAATGGGGTGCCTGACTGTGGGTCCTCACCCACGGGCTTAAAAGGACTTATCAATGCTCTACTGCAGGCACACACAAAAGGTTAATAAAAGGTTTATTGACAAGGGAAGGGCAAATGAGGAAATGTACAGCTCAGGCAGAAAAATGGGAGACAAAGTTTTAAATGCGTCCTACCCGATCCCCGATCAGGAATCCCAAATGGTGCTCTGAGAGCTGCCACCAGCCAGGAGCCGTGAAGCCAGGAGGCGAGTGACAGAGCGAGAGAGCCCCCAAGGCCCAAGTGTTTGGTTTTTATACCCAACCTGGCTGCTTAACTCCACCCTCAGGTCCCAGCCACCTTCCCTTTGGTGGTTACGGGATTTCTCTTTCCCAATGTCTTGATGACTTTGGTCTGGAGTGGGGGGTGGGGCCCACAAAGCCTGTATGGGATTAGCTCAGGACATCCTCTCCCCCTAACAAAACCAAGACTCTTTCATGCCCGATCATATTCTTGATTGTGATATGTGAGTTGCACTGACTTCATGTCAGTGGTTTTTTCCTTTGGTTTATAGGTTAAATTGACATAAAATTTAACAGTTAAAAGAATATATTTAATTTATGCCTAAGAGAGACTTGACAAGGATAGATTTCGTAATGCTTTATAGAAATGTATAAAACATTATATATTAACATATTAAGTTACTTATAGAGCAGTAGATGTTGTTTTACACGTTAATCATACTTTTCAAACTATATTGTGTTATTCTTCAGAATGTAGAATAAATGGGATGAAAGATTCCCTAGTCTGAGTTAAGTAGCAAGTACTCCTAAGCCTAACTACTTACAGTCATTACCTATAGTCATTATAAAAAATGACTATTACTGTAAACATAATGAAAATTGAATTCTAATATTGATACTTTAAACGTTTTTTCCCCCACGACAATCAGTATGTGCTAATGCCAAAGACCTATAAAATGCCACTGTGAAATGACAATTCAATGGAATGTTAAATGTCCCCTAGTATAGATTAGCTTATAGTACTGAACGAACATCCTTGACAAAACTGAGGCACTGGCTCAATGTACTCAAACTTCTTGCCAATTCAGGTTAATTAGAAATTGTGATTTTTAGTATTTTGAAATCAACATCTTAGAATCAGAATATATTTATGAATTTAAGACACAGCATTTATAAACCAGGATACTTGCTAGCTACTTAAATCTTTTAACATTGAGCCAGTTTCTTACTTTCTGGCTTTTTTCTTTTTTATCTGTAATATAATGTGATTGTTTTTATTATTTTTGGTAATAACTGATAACTTAGTTTTTGTGATGTAAACATGGAATTGATCAGTGAAGCATTTAAGATATTTCTTACTTTTGATCTGGTCATTTCAGTAAAATTACTTGATGTAGTGCATTTTTGTAGCATAGAAAACCATCTGTTTTAGTGCAACATTTTAGAAAGAATGGTTGGGTGAGGACTGTGAGAATTGTCCTGCGTATTACGGTTTCACCTTCTTTTCGGAATAAAGAAGGTCTGATTTTTACCACTTTTGGGGATCACATTTTTTTGTCGTTTTTTTTTTTTTCTCCTTTGTTTTGTTTTTATTCTATAAGAAGTATGTATTACTTTGATAAGTTAAAGCATTGCCACACCTAAAAACAAGCAAAATTGGACTTTACAAGAGCAACACAAGAGGCAACCCAATTTTATTAGCCCCAAAGCCCTCTTTAGAGAACAATTTTTTTAAAAGATTTATTTATTTATAAAAGAACCGGGGTACAGGGGCCTCCACTGGTGGTGCAGGCAGTTGAGTGCAGCACTGTGAAGCTGTCCGCAGCCTCTGCAGTGTGGGTTCACTCCTGGCCAGCCGGCGAGAATCCCACATGGCGCGGCAGACCTCTCCTGTTGTGTCCGCTGCTCCCCTCAGCAGTGTATTTCACTTAGTCTGCCTGTTCTGTTCCCTGCTCTCTCTGGTGAATCCTCTCACCCTCCCGCATGTCTGACCTGTATCGGGTTCTTGTATGTATGAATAAATAAATCTTTAAAAAAAAAAAAAGAACCAGGGTACAGGCCAGATGTGTGAGAGGGTGAGAGGATTCACCAGAGACAGTGGGGAACAGAACAGGCAGACTAAACGAAATACACTGCTGAGGGGAGCAGCGAACGAGACAGGAGAGGTTTGCTGTGCCATGTGGGTAGCTCCCCAGCCGGCCGGCTGGAATCGAACCTGCGCTGCAGAGGCTGTGGACAGCTTCACAGCGCCGCGCTCAACCTGCTGCACCACCAGGCAGGCCCTAGAGAACAATTTTTGAAATATTAACTTTTATTGTCCTGAAATGAAATACACAGATAAAATAACCTCTCTGTCCCCACTGAAAAAGACTCCGTATCATGTCCTGGTTGTGGTATAAAGGAGGATACAAGTTCTTTTCTTTTTTTTCTTTTTTTTTTTTTTTTTGTGGGACCCTCGCCAGTGGCCAGGGATTGAACTGGCGCTGCAGAGGCTGCGGGCAACCTCGCAACCCAACGCTCAACCGCTGCGCCACCAGGGGAGGCCCTCTTTTCTTTTTTTTTTTGTTTTAAGATTTCTGCGTACAAGAGCTGGGGTGTAGGCCAGAGGTGTGGGGGTGAGAAGACTCACCAGAGACAGAGTGGGGAAGCAGAACAGGCGTATGGGCTGAAATACACTGCTGAGTGGAGCAGCAGGGAGTCAGGAGAGGTCTGCTGCACCCTATGGGTTTCTCCCTGGCCGGTGATCAAAGTTGTGCTGCAGTGGCTGCGGAGAGCTTCATAGTGCTGAGACCTAATGCCTTGCCGCCATCAGGGAGGCCCTAGAAGTTATTTTCTTTTTCTTTTTCTTTTTTTTAAGATTTATTTATTTGTATATACAAGCACTGGGTACAGTCAGAAGCGCGGGAGGGTGAGAGAATTCACCAGAGCCAGAGCGGGGAACAGAACAGGCAGACAGACGAAATACACTGCTGAGGGGAGCAGCGGGCGGCAGGAGAGGTCTGTGCCCCATGTGGGACCCTTGCCTGCGGCTGGGGATCGAACCGGTGCTGCAGAGGCTGTGGGCAGCCTTGTGGCCCAGCGCTCAACTGCTGCACCACTGGGGAGGCCCTGAAAGTTATTTTCTATAAGATAATACACATTCCAACACCCATGCTCTCGGGGGTTCCTAAGCAGAGGACACAGCGTTGCCACCGAGCCTCCCACCAGTGCAGCCCCTGCTCATGTCACTAACCCAGCACTGTGTGGGCCCCTAATATCCTGAAACAGGGATCCCTTCTTCTGATGAAGGGCTGGAATACACTTAAGCTCTTGGCAGAGGCATTCCTGGATGATTAGTGACTTGAAAATAGCAAAATATTTGGGAGTGGGAATCAGATGTCAAGTGTGAGTGGTGTGTCGCAGTGCGGGGTGTTCACCAGGCCAGACTGCAAGGCCTGCTTGGGGCACAGCGTTGGAAACTCTCAGGTGAATACCCGAGTTCTCCAATAGCCTGTAAAATACAGGTCCTCTAAATCACTTTAGTTTACAATGAATGATCATCCTCAATAATTAAGTGACTGTTATCCACTGCACTTACAGCTTTCTTAAGTAAGTTTATTTAAAATTAAAATACTAGTGATAAAACCTAACCTAATTAGTGGAAAAAATCTTTTTCCACTAATTATATGCTGGGTAAGCTCTGTTCATTTGTATCCTAAATAAACAAAGGTTGTGAGTTATAAGGTTGTGATTAATGTAAATGTCTCACACAGTGTGAAGCCATTTTTTCCCCCTTTTTTTAAAGATTTATTTATTTATGCATACAAGAGCTGGGGTACAGGCCAGAGATGCGGAGGCCGAGAGGATTCACCAGACAGGGTGGGGAACAGAACAGGCAGGCCAACCAAAACACATTGCTGAGGGGAGCAGTGGGTGAGACAGGAGAAGTCTGCCTCGCCATGTGGGTTGCTCCCTGGCCAGCCGGGGATTAAACCCATGCTGCAGAAGGTGCGGACCACCCCTTAGTGCGGTACTTAACCCCTTGGGCCACCAGGGAGACCCAGAAGCCATTTTCTTGTATGTAAATTGTTACTCTGTCATGACTGTGGTTTAGTTTTATGTGAATAGTAACTTTATCAGGTTAAAAATAACCCCTAAAAGGTTGCTTAAGTTTAATAACTTAGTAAGAAAACTATGTTGCTTGATTTTTTTTTTTTTTTTATTTCGATTAGCAGAAAGTACAGGGGCTAAGCATACCCTGGCAGCATGTCGTCCCATTTTGTTAAGGGCCTCCCAGCCCCTTCCCACCGTCCAGCGTGTTAGGTGATGACACCAGCGTGAAACAGTCACTTGGGTGGCATATCCGTGTGCCCACTCTTTCCTCGGCCTAGTGTCCTGGGTGCTGGGTAGAGGAGCCCAGGGTGGGACACAGACGTGTCACTGAAGTGAACAAGGGAGCTCATTCAGGATGGGGTGAATGCTGTGGAGGAGACGCAGGCTGGCGGGAGAGGAGGGGGTGCTTAGGGATGGTTTGGGACTGAAGAAGGAGACGATGAAGATGACATTGCAGGGTGGGAGAAGCAGCCTTGGTAAGGACTAGGGACAGAACTTTCCAGGTAGAGGGAAAGGTCCTTTGGTGGAAGACAATTGTGGTGTGTTCAGGTTGCTCACAGGCCAGCGAGGGAGGCTGGTGTGTGTCCTTTGAGGGACAGAGAGGGATGAGGTGGAGTGTGCGGGAGCCAGATGACCAGGGCCTGGGGCAGGACAGGCCCACCTGGGCAGATCCCAGCAGGGTCCACTCAACTTGGTGGCCGAGTCTTGGGGTGGGCTATCCTCTCCAGAACCCCTCTCCTGTCATGTTTGGCTTTGCCTGGCTGAGCATGCTAACTAACTGCTCGTGGGGGTCAGGATGGACCAGGACCTGGGTGGCTGGGGAGGGGCTAGAGGCAGTTCCTTGGGTTTTCAGAGTCTCTTTCTCAGTCCACTTGAGCTGGCAATGTCTCACTTTAAAAAGGGTTTTTTTACTTAAAGAGCCACTAAATTAGAGAGTAGGTTCTCAGGATACCATTTTTTTTTTCCTGTTTTACGATGTGGGGTTCTTTTTCTGGGTTCAAGTCAGTGTTTAAGAAAATTCCTTCAAGGACCTCCCTGGTGGCTCAGGGGTTAAAGATAGCTATTGGCAGCCACTGCAGCCCAGGTATGATCCCTGGCAGGCCAGGGAGCTGACCCACAGGGCGCAGGAGACCTCGCCTGTCTCCCCGCTGCTCCCCTCAGCAGTAGATTTCAGTAGAGCCGCCTGTTCTGCTCCCCACTCTGTCTCTGGTGAATCCTGTCACCCCCTGCACCTCTGGCCTACACCCCAGTTCTTGTATGCATAAATAAATAAATCTTTTTAAAAAATCCCTTAAGGAAAGAGGCATGAGGAAAGAAAGCCAAACTTCAGCCAGCTGTAATGTGCTCTCGGGAAGGGCGCAGGTGACATCCAGGTAAGGTGCCTTCAAAAAACCAGACTTGCCTCAGCCACTAGATTACTCAGACCCACCTCACAATAAGAAAAGGGCCGCATGCCTGCGAACTTGTAGTTTTGCCCTAAATGTAGTTTGCTACCTCCTTAATTCAGCTTACAGATTTACACTAAAAGTACATTTTAAAAAAGGGCTGTTTCTCATCTGTGAAATACATGATGAAAAATTTTTAACTATTTTTTATAATTTACTAGACCGGGTGGTTACAGTTATTCAGTTTGGTGGAAAAACAATGTCAAGAACAAATCGTCGCCCAGCAGGAGCAGTTCCACAGCCAAGTTCAAGTGAGTTGTCATTTATATTGATTCTTTATATTTTAAGATTTGCAGAAGAACCAGTTCATACTTTTCATTAATTTTGTTTGTAAAGAAAAGACATTTTCAGTGTAATAGCTCACATTTTTAACAGTATTTTCACATTTATAAAAACGTGAAGTTTAATCAGTTTTCTTACCCACGTTTGTCACTTTATTTTCAGCGTATTCAGGAGGAGATCAGAAATTTAGTCAAGTTGCAGACATGCAATGCTTCCTGGGCTTCCTTTGATAGTTCTTTAAACAGACAAGTATCTTCAGAAAGTCCAATGGGTTTTTTTTCTGAAAACAGTGAGAGAAATGAATCTGTCATCAGTTACCCTAAGTCCCGAGAACCTGAAATGCAGCAAGAAACCTCTGCATCCCAGCCAGACTGCAGCGTGGACGGCGGCTCTGTGAGCAGCGGGTATGGTACCTTCAGTGTCTCCGAGCTAAACACCTGCAAGTCTGAGGACCGTAAGGAGTGCATGGAGCACAGAGAGGGGGCCCTGGGACCGCATGGGACCCCGGCGCTGCAGGCCCAGCCACTCACGGAGGCTGCCACAGCCACGAGTGGCCCCACGCGGGCTGCCGACGACTTCTGTGCACCTTTCAAGGAAGATACTTCCATTTTCCATGGTGAATTTGAACACGCTTTTCTTGGTGAAAAGATTTCTGAAGTGTACAGTGGAAAAACAAACAGGTGAGTAGTCTCTCCGTCGTTTGAAGGCAAGTTTTACTTGTTTATTGCACTTTGAATCCAGTAAGTAAAGCTTCTAGAGGCACTGCGGTGGAATGAGATGTGTTTGAAGTTTTGCCATGAGAATCAAAGTCTTTTTATTTGCTGCCTGAGGAAAGTCGAAACAAATGACCACACTGTGTGCTAATGACTCTTGACTCTTCTGTTCGTGGTGCTGTGAGATTTCTCAACCCTCAAGGTGGAGGCCTGGTCGGAAAGCGGCTCTTCTCTTCTCTAGTCACAGTAACTTGCTAACATTCAGAGCACAGGGTTGTGTCTGCCGTGGATTTTGTCAACACACAAGCATGTGCTTTGAAACCAAATTATATCTAAGTGTGCACAGTTCTCTGTTTGTGTCAGAAGAGATTTGGTGAGTTTAACGACATCTGGATGGGCCCAGAGGACTTCTTAGTAAAGGAGACTGAGGCTGAATGTTGTCAGAGCACGTCGTCTACCAGAACCGTGCAGCCTGCCCTGAGTGTGCATTGCTGAAGGAAGCTGCTTGGCTGTAGCACACAGGGCATGGCCCTCAGCAATGCTAGTCCTGGGCTCTCTCTGGGAGCCGCCCTGGGGCCCACGGTGTGTCGTGTTCAGGCTGCGCACCGCCAATTGTTAACCTGGAAAATGAAACTTAGGTGAACCAATAAAAACCCATCCTCTGCTATTTGAAAAGCAACTCGGAGCGTTTTGCCTGGTACAGCGACTCCTGGTGTTTAGTTTCATGTGAGAAGTTGGCATCTCAACAGAGTGATTTGTTTTTCTCTTTTTAAATAGTAAATCTGTGACATCATGGGCTGAAAAGCTGAAGCAGAACCAACCAAAGCGAGCACACATGGAGGATTCAAATCCCACCCTCGGGAGCGAGGAGGCCAGGAAGCCCCCCGCCGGGAAGGTAGGCAACTCTGCCACTTGCCCACCCCCTAGGGACTGTTGCCCCTCCTTGGTTTCGTTAATTTGTTCCACTGACATCTCTTCCTTTTGGTGTCTTGAAGTTTTGGAAACAATGACTGACTAAGAACTGAGGGATAAAATCCTGTCGAAAGGAGCCATTTCTTCATAAGGCACTCCTCTCCTGCCGCTCCCCTGCTTCCCTTCCCCCGGCCCTCCCTGGGATACAGGCTTCTTGAGGTCCCTGTCCTTGGAAGCTCTGGCCCATTAAGGACGGTGTGCCCTCATTTGGTGTGATGGCCCGAGGGCGCTGGAGACGGGGGTGCAGCCTGCTCTTTTCATGGAGTTAGGCTGGCTGAAAGGGAGAGAGTTTCACCTGCACTAATTTCTTCACTTTTACCTTGAGTGAAACTCAGTCTGGTGGAGACTTTCCCTCCTCTACTACACTTGGGTTTGTGACCCAGACCCTGGTGGACACCGGTTTCCTTGTTGTCTTGTGTGCTGTAGGCCGGCGCTCTCCAAACCATGCTGTGTGTTAGAGTCAGAGAAGGAGGTCCAGGAGCACCCACCTGGCCGACGACCCCAGGGGTCTGCCCTCAGCTGTGAGGGTGCCACCGGTGTCGGAGAGCTTAAACACTTTCAGGGGATTCTCGTGTGCTGCAAAGCTTGGGAGCTTCTGGTCTTGCCCACTGGCCCGCCTCTGGTTCTCTGATAATCCGGCCCAGTGATCAGATGCACCGAGACATGCCCTTGGGGACAGGTTGGCCGATCCCTCCCTCCTGAGTGTCCTGGTGCTGTCAGGGGGCAGAGGGCAGGGCTGTGAGGAGGAGAGGGTCCCTTGGAGTTTTCCTTTTATTTCCTGGACAAGTTTTATTTTTCCTTTATTTTTTAATAGGGTAATACTATTTTTGGTATTGGGGGAAGTCAGTGCTGCTTTTGAATTTTAAGTGATTTTTCAAGTAATGGTGTTGGTGAATTAAAGGCAGCACGCCTGAGTCATTTCTTTCTGCAGAATTGAATCAAATTCTGTGGATTCACAACAGTTGGAACTTTCCTCTTTGTTTCATTCCTCCTCTTCTGCCATTGTTTTTTCCCAGTTTTAGTAGAGCCCAGGGAATCCTGGTGATCGGAGTTCTCTTGGGATTCAATTTTCATTTACACGATGCTCGTTTATTTTGGGTCCTAGCTATTTTGTAACGTCTTGAAATCTGATATTGTTGAACATAAGCACTTTCCTTCTTTGTCTCCTTGGTCCTTTGTCTTGGACAGACTGCCTGTCCCCGGGCTCTAGAGGCATTAGCTGGGCTAGAGCACTGTGCTCCACACACACGAAGCTCAGTGCTTTTCACAAGTTCCGTCCTGTCCTTTCCATTAAACACTGGTCCTGTTTTCTTCAGCTAATGCCTTGTTTGCTCAGAAGATACAGAGGCAGCCTATGAGGTGAGCCCCAGCCCCTCCAGTGCCTCCAGCCCCTCCAGCGCCTCCAGCCCCTCCACTCTGTGTTGGCAGAGTGCACCAGCCTTTGCACGTTAAACTTGAACAAAGGATAAATGCTACTCGGGATATTTCTTTGCCTTCTGCAGTCATCCTCGCCTGGTCTGTTAAGTATGGAGGCTTGGCAGGCATTTCAACAGGCAGGAGTTTAGAAGAGATGAAAAGGTGATCTGGGTTTTCTTGTTTGATGAGAAAGCAGCTGAGCAGCACCTTGCAGGCTGGGGGCACCCACTTTCTTGGTTGCGGGTGGGGTGTGCTATCTGCTGTCTCACGTGCTGCTCTTGCAGTGGGTCCTGGGTGGTGGTTAGCAAGTTCAACTTCAGTACTTTAGCAGGAATTAAAAGTTTGATGGTGGTGGAACTGACGAGAAAAATTCCAGTAAAAACAGTCTTCACTTACCTGCTTGGGAACAGTGAGAGTGACAGGGATGGCGTGAGTGAGACTAGCTCAGGCTTTTTATGAGAATTGATGGTAAGGAAGAGAACAAACTAGCAAAACAACAAGAATAGTCTCAGACCCTGTGACTGGTATACTGGTTGCCAGAGGGGATAGGGAGACAGGGGTTGAGGGGGGATGGCAATAGTGTGGGGGTGAGTGGGGTGTGTGCACATACGGTGGGGTGAAGCTGCACTTCCGCACTTACATAGTTACATAAACTAGTGACAAATCAGCAAAACTTAAAGTTCATGTTAATTATTGCTTTGTGGTTTTCAGAGTTAATTTATATTGTATTATTTTTAAAGATTTATTTTTTAAATTTCATATATGCATACAAGAACTAGGGTGTAGGCCAGAGGTGCCGGGGGGAGGGGGTGTGAGAGGATTCACCAGAGACAGAGTGGGGAGCAGTGGTTGAGACAGGAGAAGTCTGCAGTGTGGGTCAGCTCCCCGGCCGGGGATCGAACTCGTGCTGCAGTGGCTGGTGACAGCTTCATAGTGTTGAGACTTTACCCCTTGCGCCACCAGGGAGGCCCAATTTTTATTGTATTTTTAATGATAAAAGAAATTATTATAGTTTTTACAGTAATTTCTATACTAAATGACTTTAATTCCAGGCACCTCAAATTTCCTTTGGAAGTCCGTTTTCATTCTGAACTCATTAACATCTGCTCTCAGTTTTCTCCTTCTAGCTCCAAAATAAACTTCTGTAAATCACACAGGAAAAGAAAGTCCTTCACTGTTCATTGCTGTCATTTTGCCTTCTGGTCGTGGGGAGATTGGGGAATGGGGTGGATGGGAGGGTGAGGATGGGCATGGGGTGGGGGGCCTGCTTTCCCGCAAGTCCCCAAGGCTTCTCAGCGTCTGGCTCCACATCATCTCCCAGTTCTTGGGCAGCAGCTGCCCCCAGGAGTTTCAGCTCTTGGCTGACGATTTTCTCTCTTGAATTGTAGTCTGATTGCACTGCTGCTGCCCGTCCACGTGCTTTTTACCTCTGTAAGCCAGAGGGAAGGCCACAGGCTTGGACGTCTGATTCAGGAGCAGGTATGGCGTGTGTGTGCTGCGCTTTGAGACTTTATCTTCTTAAGGTTTCTAGGCAACAGCTGTCTGCATTTCTCACGGCTGATAGTCACGGTTTACTTGGGGGGGGCTTTGCACACGTGCTGTGCATGGTGCTCCTTGTGGCTGGTTTCCTTCCTTAGCTGATTTAAGTTCCATAAAGATTGAAAGAAGTGGTTTTGTAGTTATTTCAAACAGCTATAAAAATTGCCTCATCATTTTTCAGGTGCTCCAAAACGAATTAAGAGATTCAAACGCTCACAACCCACTCTTGACTCTGTGGCGAACTTATTTTAGTCGTGAAAGCTTTACCTAGTGACTCCTTCCCCCCACAGCCCCACACGCAGCTGACCAGGGTTAGCCTGGCCTCATGGAACTCCCCAGAACCCCCCACTCTGTCCGCCTTCACACTGTCACCCTCCCAGTGCCCCCATCACCTCCTGCAGCCTCTCACAGCCTCCCTCCTCCCCGCACCCTTCCACCTGCGCTCAGAGGTGGCCATACTGACCCTTTTTAAAGGTAAGTGAGATCAGTGGCTGCTGCTCCCCGCCCTGTGGAGGCTCTCCCCAGCTCCTCCGGAGAAGCACACGCCGCGGGACGGAGCTGGCTAGCTCCGAGGCCTTGCTTGCTGCTTCCGTTCCTTGCTCTGCTCCAGCAGGAGGCCGTTTGCTTAGACATACTCTCATTTCAGGGCTTTTGCCCTGGAATGCTCCCCTCCCCAGAGGGGCCGCTTCCTCATTTATTGCTAAGGTGGTACCCACAGATTGAGCCCTGACCACCCCCTGCACACAGCTACATGTTCCTTTTTACTGGAGTTTTACCTTATCAGAGCGCTGACCAACTTCTAAAGTACCACCCACTAAATGCGTGTCCTGTGAAGTCCTGTACAAGCCACCATGTAATGCCCCACAGTTCCTGTCCAGCCTGACACAGTAAATGCTCATTAAATGTTTCTGAATTATCAAAATCTTTTTATTGATTATTAGTCATAAAGACATGGTCATCCTTTAAAAATTTATTTAACTTGCACTAGTTTATTTTCACCTTCAATAAGACTATTTCAGTGGTAAATACAGGGTCATTGAGTCAGGACTCATGGTAAGGAATTTCGGTGTCATTTATTGGAAAAATTCCCGTATCTGGATAGGCAGAAATGAGTTCTTTTCCAAATGTAATTTTCTTTAGGTAAGTTTTTCTCGAAGCCACCTTTGTTCTCTTTCCTTACTCGTCTCTCTGGGTGTGTGTCCACACTAGGATCGATCTGCTGGGCGCTGGAGGAGAGCCACACACGTCCCCGTCTGCCCCGGACTTTAGAGGAAGCCTTCGCACCACCCCCTGAGGAGTTGTCTGAGAACCAGGTAGCTTAGATCACGTGTGAGTGTGAGAGAGCAAGCGTTACACAGTTGTAGTTAAGGACGCCATTTCATTGTTAATTTTGTATTTTTCAGTTTGTGACATATTGACAAAAGTAGGCCTTGGAATCATGTTGCCTGCTTTCGAATTCAGTCTCTGCCTTTGTGATCTTAGCAGTTACTTTAAAATGAAATTAAAAATGCCTCGATCGTGTTTTCTGAAATTTAGTGCTTATTATTTTAAATATGGTGGGAGGTCTTACAGATGAACTTTGTCCCTATTCTCAGACCTGGTGTTGGTTTTTCCTCCTGTTACACCCGAGGAATGTAAATATTTTGTTTACTTCGGAACAAAGAAACGAAGCTCTCAGTCTGAACATCGGTGTCCGTATCTCACTTCTGCGTTTTGATCAGCTGATGAAAGTGTAGGGGGGAAAGTAGGGGTCCAGTCGGAGTAACCAGGGGAACTGTGACCTGAGTGACAGACAGATGGGGCAAGGGGCTGCTGGGGGCCTTGCAGGCGTCAGGATCCAGGGACAGGGGAGCCAGCCTCAGTCCTTCAGCAAAGAGGGGAAAAAGAAATGTAAAGAGAGGGAGTGGGGCTGTCAGGGCTGCGGTCCCAGTGCTGCCTGGCTGCAGTGTCAGGACGTTAGGGCGCTAATTTTCTCTAAATTGTCTTTTCGATGCCGTTGATTTTTTTTTTTAAAGATTTATTTATTTATGCATGCAAGAGCTGGGGTACAGGCCAGAGATGTAGAGGCGGGGAGGTGGGGTCGGTTGAGAGGATCCACCACAGACAGAGTGGGGAACAGAACAGACAGTCTGAAACACACTGCTGAGGGGAGCAGCGGGCGAGTCAGGAGAGGTCTGCTGCGCCATGTGGGTAGCTCCCTGGCTGGCTGGGGATCAAACTCGTGTTGCAGAGACTGTGGATTGCTTCATAGCGCTGTGCTTAACCTCTTTTTTTTTTTTTTTTTTTAATAGAGGCATGTTTTTTTTTTTCTTTATTTATTTGTTTGCTTGTTTGTTTGTTTTGTTTATACATGCACTGGGTACAGTCAGAAGCGCGGGAGGGTGAGAGAATTCACCAGAGCCAGAGCGGGGAGCAGAGCAGGCAGAAGGACCGAAGTACACTGCTGAGGGGAGCAGCGGGCGACAGGAGAGGTCCGCGCGCCATGTGGGACCCTCCTCCGGTGGCCGGGGAGCAGCCGGGGATTGAACCGGCGCCGCAGAGGCCGCGGGCAGCCTCGCAACCCAGCGCTCCACCGCTGCGCCACCGGGGAGGCCCTGTGCTTAACCTCTTGCGCCGCTAGGGAGGCCCTGATGCCATTGATTTCAAATGGCCTGTTTCTTATTCCACCAAGAAAAAAATTTATCATTTAGACTGATACAGTGCCTCCTTATCTCTTAAGAGTTTATACTTTATGCTGATGGGAAGCTTGTAGATTTGAACCTTCATTGTTACTACATAACTCTCACATGAAAGGGAAACAGGAGTGAAGCAGGTGTGTTAGAACTTCATGGCAGGGACTGCCACTCCTCTCTGCACTCTTGGTCTCTGTGTCCCACATCTGTCCTCCTCTGGGCCCTGATAAGCTTTGGTGATGGGCATTTCTTTGAAAGGGGTAAGGGTCTTGGAGTCGAGTTGACAAAGCCACACAGGACTAGCCTGCTCTTGACTGTCTGGTGGGGACTGTTGCTGAGTGTGGCTGAGCCACTGTCCCTAAACACTGCTTCTCAGGGCTGCTGCTGTCCCCTCTGGGCTTTCCTTCCAAGCTGCTGACACTGGTTGGCCAATTTTCATGGCTTTGATTTTTGCTTATGAGCAGGCAATGAAGGTTATGTCACAACTGCTTCTTGAATGAAGAGAGTTGTAAGATGCCACTGATTACAAGAGGCACCCCCACTTCAGAGATGAATGTCTCCTCACTTAATATGAAAACAAAGAAGTCATGAAGCAGTGAGAAAGGGTCCTGGCTTTACCACAGGCTCTAAGGGGAATAACTGACGGCTCACCCGGCTAGCAGACAGGAATCCTCGGCTGCCAAAGGCTGTAAAGCTTGAAAGGGCCTTTAGGTGGTTGGCCTATAAAATGTAAGATTCCAAAGCAGCAGTACAGAAACTGGTAAATTTGAAGAGTTCACATTTAACAAATTAATGCTTTTAGTATATACAATAAAAAGTATAGTTATCTTTTTCACAATTACAAGGTTTATTTAAAAAATGTTAATTCATGGTAATCTGCTGCCTGGTAGGGTCTGGAGATGAGACTGGAGTTCAGAGCTACCCGTGAATGTTGTCTCGGTCTTTAATCCCGCTTGAGAGAGTGTCTATAGTTTAATGCGAGGCCTGGGGTTAAACAGTGCACCACACCCTGTGTGGGTCCCCTCTGCGATAATTTATATGCAGGGTTTAACCTTTGGAGCTCAGAGCTCTTTGGAACCTTCCAGGGCGGTAAAGCCCTGATTTCAAGATGCAGAAATGAGGGTCAGATCCTCTTTTACTCATTAAAAACAGGGCTCATTTTCTTTGGGTAACATAGTAACGCATTTTTGTCTGCCAAGTCTTTGAGAAAAAATATATATAGATGTATATATGTACACACAAAATGGCATTGATGAGGGGTTCTACCAGGTGTCCCCTTGAGTGAAATTTATCTGGCCAGAAGTTCTCGTCCAGCTTCAGATGTTTGTTACAGTCTCTTCTTACCTCAGCCTTGGGTTTTTATTCTGAGTTAGGGGTGACCAAGGATTTTAACGCTTCGGAGTCCTCATGGGCTGCTGAATAACTTAGGTTTAAATTGCTCCTCTAATTATTGATTGATTGGAGATATGAAAAAGTTTCATTATGAGGGAGACTCGTAATAGGTACTGACTTCCAAACCTGTGTTATGAATCTGATGGTCTAGATTGTCAATGTATTTAAAGTCTTTCAAAAATATTTTCGCGGTGCTGATCTTGATATCAGTTAGCTTATTGTTGTCGATGCCATTTAAATAATTTTGTTTCATATCTTTAAGTTTAATACTGGTAATGAGATGACGCTACCATCACTGAAGGAAATTTATCATAAAAAACAAAGGGAAAACAAGCAGTTCCCTGAGAGGAACCTCACTTCTGCTTCCAGCCCAAATCATCCGCCAGAGGTAAAGTTGTCAGCACTGCTCAGTGACATGAAGGCGCTCGTGACTCTAACTTTTACCTTCAGCTTTACTCCCCCAGCAGATCTTAAGCCTACTCGCTTATAAGCCAGCAGAACGAGATCTGAGTTGAGAGGGAACCTTCCCGTTGTTCATCTCACTTCCAGGTTCTGACTCTGGACCCAACGATCCACATGAAGCCACAGCAGCGGGGGGTGGGGACTCAGCCCCCAGACTTCGGGGATGCCCTCGACGCTAGGACAGCCTTCTCGCCAGACTCTGTTCTAGAACCCAGCATGTCTAGCCACTCTGATATAGACTCATTTTCACAAGCAAGTAACATCACTTCTCAGTTACCTGGATTCCCAAAATATCCTTCAAATTCAAAAGCTTCGCCAGTGGACTCCTGGAAAACTCTTGGCTTCCAAAACGGAAGCAGGACCAGTTCCCCCTTTGCTTCTGCGTGCACCATCACTGGTAGCGACACCTCGGTCAACACCGTGGAGGAGGGAGACACTGTCATGGTAACTGCAGCCTCGGTCGGTCAGTCCCAGCTTCCAGGTACAGCCAACAGTGCCCCAGAATGCGTTTCATTGACTTCCCTGGAAGATCCTGTCATAATGTCTAAGTATGTATTTCAGTGACTGGCTTGTAATGTTAATAGATTTTCTGTGATGTCTACTTAAATGATGAAAATGATTATTAATGAACTCAGTAATGTAGAAAATCTTAAATTAAAAATAGCTATAGATAGAGCACCTAAAAGTTATGTCTTTTTTTTCATTTTACTATTGTCAACTTTCGTATTAATATATTTTCTGTGGGTGTGCAAAGGAAAAACCGTATATTTTTGCTTTTGAGAATGGTTGTGTTCTCGGTTTCTCTTATGGGGCAGGGTGTGGACATGTATTTTCCTAATGATATTTTTCACTCTTGCCAACAGGATTAGACAGAACCTCAAGGAGAAGCATGCTCGGCACATAGCAGATCTTCGTGCTTATTACGAATCAGAAATAAATAGTTTGAAACAGAAACTAGAGGCAAAAGAAATTTCTGCAGTTGAAGAGTGGAAGAAAACCAATCAAATTCTGGTGGACAGGTAAACCTTGCAATTTCCCTGTAAAATATGTCTCTCTCTCCTTGGGTGTGGCTTTTCCCCCACGGTACTGCATATGGTGACCCAGGACACTTTGAAGACATGCTTTGTATTTGAAAATTTTAGCACAGAAATGGGTTTACCTGAGCAAATCTTCTGATGATTTGAACCAGTGCCTCCTACGAAACTGATAACTGACAGGAGGCCATTTGTCTTGTGTGAACAAAACACGTTGAGCAGATTTTGCACATGCAGAGCCGTGTCCTGTGGGAGGATTGGTACTGGTTAGGGGTTCCCTGAAGTGCTATGGCTGATGTCCTGGGGTGGTCCTCAGCCTTAATATCCAGACGTGCATATCTCTGAAAATAACTGCCGTTCCCACAAACCTGTTTAAACAACCAGGAGACTTGACACTGGAGAGACTCACTTAGCTCATTGGAGCTTTCACTGGTATTTGTAATAGAGTATTTGCGACATACTTTACCTTTTCTTTTTGCTTGTGAGGGTTGTAGCTATATTTATTGCTCCGGAACCTAAAACAGAAAAATCTAAAACATGAAACTTTGTGGGTTTTTTTTTAAATATATATATATATATATATATAGAAAGAGCAGGTTTATTAGGGAAAGGGACAAGTTTGCTGAGAGAGGCCTGCATGGTTGCAGACGGGCGGCATTGAGGAGAGTGGCCTCCACTGAGGGAGGTCAGTGAAGAGAAGTCCCAGCAGGTATAGGTCATGGGCAGGCAGGAGGCTGCTGCCCTGCAGAGGGAGTGAGTGGGTGAAAAGAAGCACCTGCATAGTCACAGGTGGGCAGTGGGAGAGCTGCCCCGAGCCTGTGCAGAGACTGCACTGATACAGTCCTTTTCTCTTTGGGAGGGCTCACTCCTCCGTGGAGTGGCTGCTTGTTGCTGATGTTGGGTAACAGGTAACACTAGAAAGGGACCAGAGATTCCAGGGTGGGCCCAATCTCCTTATCTTTACCCTTAGGCCTGTGCTCTACTCCCTATAGCAGTCTGATCCTGCTTGGGTCTCCTGCCTTGTGATAAGGCACTGGTGCCTGAGGGTCACGACCTCTGCAGCTGGGTTAATGGTCATAAAACATGAAACTTTGTAAGCACACATCCCATTAACCTTGAGGGCAATGCTGTCAGTTCTCATCTTTTTTGTTTTTTAAGTTTTTTTTTTTTTTTTTAAGATTTATTTGTTTATTTATACAAGTACTGGGTACAGTCAGAGACACGGGAGGGCGAGAGAATTCACCAGAGTCAGAGTGGAGAGTAGAACAGGCAGAATGAAGAAGTACACTGCTAAGGGGAGCAGCGGGCGGCAGGAGAGGTCTGCGCGCCATGTGGGACCCTCACCCGTCGGCCAGGGATGGAACTGGTGCTGCAGAAGCTGCGGGCAGCTTCGCAACCCAGCGCTCAACTGCTGCGCCACTGGGGAGCCCTTAAGTTTTTTTTTTTTTTAGATTTTATTTATTTATACAAGAACTGGGGTACAGGCCAGAGATGCAGGGGGGTGAGAGGATCCACCAGAGACCGTGGGGAATAGAACAGGCAGACTGACCGAAGTATACTGCTTAGGGGAGCGGCAGGCGAGACAGGAGAGGTCTGCTGAGTCATGTGTGTCTCTCCCTGCCCGACCAGGGAATCCAATTCATGCAGCAGAGGCTGCAGATTGCTTCATGGAGCGGGGCTTAACCGGAGACCCGGTTTTTCAAATTTTTATAAATTTTTTTTCTTAGCTTGTAGATTATCTTTCTATAGTTACTGTTCCCCCACATGCCACCCCACTCTCTGTGTCTCCCTCCCTTACCTCTCCCACTCTTCCCTTGATGCAAGCTGTGGATTGATGTTCAGCCCAGGCCTCGTCTTTTCTGGGAACCTTGTCCCTTTCCTGGGCGAGGACCTGGACTGGCTGTCCGCTGAAATGGCATCCCGAGACTTAGCTAACATTGGAGTACTTGTTTCTATAATACTTTTAAGGGAAGGGACTTTAGATTCTTTTTGTTTTTTTTTTTTTAAGATTGATTTATTTATTTATACAACCCGGGTACAGGCCAGATGCATGGGAGGGTGAGAGGACTCACTAGAGACAGCGGGGAACAGAACAGGCAGACTGACGAAACACACTGATGAGGGGAGCAGCGGGCACGACAGGAGAGGTCTGCCGCGCCATGTGGGACCCTCGCCGGCGGCCGGGGATTGAACCAGCGCTGCAGAGGCTGCGGACAGCTTCACAGCGCAGTGCTCAACCGTGTGCACCACCAGGGGAGACCCAGGGACTTTAAATTCTTACTTGCTTAGTTTCGATCTATGGTTTTTAGATGTGGCCAGTTGGACAGTGCTCTTAATGAAGCTACTAGTCGTGTGAGAACTCTTGAAAATAAGAATAACTTACTGGAGATAGAAGTGGTAAGTAAGTACTCTGTTTTTTTGCTGTTGTTCTAATGACTTAATGTTAAAATTTTTAAAGTAAAATTTAAGGATTTAAACCTAAATTTTAGAGACAAATGATAGCTTTGCCGTAGTATTGGTTGTATTTTGTTTTCTCTTCAGGATATCTTACTGCTCAGTAGGTCATATTTGGAGTACTTCTGGCTTCATATGATCTTACAAAGTGTTACCCTTTAAAAATTTCATTTTTAGTTGGATTAATTTGCATAGCATATAACTCACCCTTTTAAAGTTACAATCCCTTAGCTTCGTTGTATTCAGAAGGTTTTGGCCATCACCACAATCAGTTTTAGAACATTTTTCTCATTCAGAAACCCACCTGGACCTTTCGGCTGAGCCCCACCCCACCCCGACCCTCCGCCGCCCCCAGCAGCCGCCTCTCTGTTTTCTGTCTTTGGGTTTGCAGCTGTGGACATTTTGTGTCCTTGCAGTCCCGCGGCATGTGGCCTTGTGGGCTGGGCTTCTCCCAGGCAGCACCGCATCGAGGCTCATCCTGTGGCCTCAGGGGTCAGGGCATCTCAGGCTGGGTCGCTCTGTGAGGGCAGATGTCATTTCACCCGCACAGCCGTTAGGGCGGACATGTGGGTGTCTGGGCTGTTGTGAATCTAATAGTGCTGTGAGCGCCTAGGTACCAGATTTCATGTGGACCATGTCTTCCATTTCCTGGGTGTATTGCTAAGAGTACGTTAACTTTGAACTACTTTTTTCATTGGTTACCCAGTTTTATTATTCTACCGATGATCTTATAAACAAGGTCTTGGTGGAAAATTCCAGTTATGTTCATCATATTGTCTTTAATAATGTTTG